CAGGTGGCCTAAATGAGGCCCTACTCAGACATGGGTGGAGCCAATCAGCACTCCATTTGCCAGACTGCAGGCATATAAGCAAAACTCCCTTTACACAATGCACTCATAACTAGAAACCTGCATCATAGGGCCAGTAGGCAAACATTGAGAATATAACAGATATAATTAGAAAAAATCACAATAAACCATCAACAGGTCAAATTCTATAAGGAGAACAAGAAAATATATATACATAAACTGCATTCAGAAGCAGAAATAACATATGAAAATTAATAGAATATATACATAAAACACAAAAAAGAGACAACCAAGAATAAGAAAAAAAAGAAAAGAAAAAAGACACTAAATATATGCAAACAGATATACGAAGCAGGGCACCTTTACATAGGAAGTATTAATTTACAAAAATGGAGTGAGGTCAAGGTCCTCATTAATTCCTGGTTATACAGTAGCTTTCAGTTTGAAAATCCATTCCGCCTCTTTTTGATTGAGACGTTTCTGTCTATCCCCTCTTCTATCTGCCTCAGGGATATGGTCAATGCCCATAGCCAACACAGAGGAGGGGTCATTGCCATGATGTTCTTTGAAATGTTTAGCCATAGGGTAGTCCAGGTTACCTATCCTGATTGCATACTTATGTTCTGCAAGTCTATCTTGTAACCTGCGTTTAGTACGGCCAATGTAAAAGATTCGGCATACCTGACATTCAAGTTTGTAAATCACAAAGGTGGTTTTACAATTGATGAAATGATGAATACAATATGTTTTATTTCTAACTTCAAAGGTTTTAGATTTAACAATATTATTACAATGAGGACAATGGCCACATCTGTAACAGCCCTTAAGTTCAGATTTTAGCCAGTTATTGGGACGTGCAGCTGGTAAATGACTATGAGACACTCTGTCTTTCAAAGTAGGTGCCCTCTTAAAGGTCACAACAGGGGGTTCAGGGAAAATGTCCTTGAGAGTGTTATCACATTCAATTATGTTCCAATTTTTCTTAATGATATTTTTAATTTTGAAGGCTTCTGTGCTATATTTAGTTGTAAAAAACACACCTTTAGGTGCCTCCCTCACAGGTTTTCTTTGTAGCAAAGAGTCCCTATTAAGGGCTCCGGCTTTGTTACTTGCCTGTTTGACCATCTGTCTTTTATAGCCCCTATCAAGAAAACGAGCTTCCATCTCCTCACTTTTCTCTGTAAAATCTGATACCTGATCACAGATGCGTCTCAAGCGCTGGAACTGGCCAAAGGGAATATTTTCTATAAGGGATTTTGTATGAAAAGATTTTGCATGGAGAATTGTATTTCTATCTGATTGTTTCCTAAATATTGAAGTATGTAGCTCTCCATCTGCAGTCTTAGAGATATTCAGATCCAGAAAATTAATGTCAGTTTTGCTGTAGTCAAGCGACAATTTTATATTAGAATTTGTGCTATTAAGATATTGATGGAATTGTAATAATTCATTTTCATCTCCCGACCACAGCAAAATGACATCATCAATATATCTCCCCCACCATATAATATGATGAGCAAAAACATTATTCTCTGCA